TCCGTCCGTCCGTCCGTCCGTCCGTCCGCCGTCTGTCTGTTAATAATTAAATAAAAAAAATGTTTTACATTAATTATGGATCATTGTAAGTGGATGCATTTAATCCCTTCAAAGAGATGCTAGGCACTCATTAATGACTAAATAGATTGACTTAGTCTCATTAAACCAACAAATAACCATGCTTATTAAAGTTGAATTTAATCATTACAGGGATTAAAGCAAGTTATTTCTTATAATTAAATCACCGGCAGCTGTTTGGGAAATCGTTATAAGTGATTAATGCGTAAACAATTATGGTACAGCTCAAGTCATATCTTTTACGATGTAAACCATTTCTGAAAACCTTCACCAAGATAATTATTTCAAACTCAGGTGTTTGTGTCATTAGAGTAATAGGGATCATTGTAATTGATATTTATTAATGGATGAAGCACAGGTGATACCCTATAGTTTGCTGACTTACATTTACATTTACATTTAGTCATTTTGCAGACGCTTTTATCCAAAGCGACTTACAATTTGGGGATACATAAAGCGATTCTTCTTAAAGAGGCAAACAGATACAGGAAGTGCTTGTAATACCAAGTTTCTAGACATTGTTCAAATAAGTACAAGCTAGAAAGAGAAGGAATAAATAAAGAGAGAGATTTTTTTATTTTTTTTATAATGATGACGATGAAGTCAAGTAGCTTTGAAAGAGATGAGTTTTCAGCTGTCGCTTGAAAATTGTCAGGGATTCAGCATTCCGGATAGGGGTGGGAAGATCGTTCCACCAGCCAGGAATGGTGAACGAGAATGTTCTGGAAAGTGATTTTGTGAAGTGAAAACTTGCGAAAGTGAAGTGACTTGAGGAAAGACACCTGCTGGTTTTGTTGTCCTTGTGTTTCATGTTCTCAATATAATGTTTGAATCATTTTCAAACTTGATACATGATTACTGTGCATTCAAGCAGGGGTTCTCAAAGTAGGTATTGTAAATGTGACTTGTTCTCAGTTCTCACTCTTTTTCATACTGTGTTGATTATGCATGCAAGAACCAATGTGGTTAGTGTACAGTTTCATTTCTTCACCACCTTTATGTGCTTATTTGTTGTTGAGTGCACACACACTACTGCACATTGTGCAAACACGTTGTTGCATACAGTATGTGCCAGATTTGAATGTGAGTGAATATAGATTTGAATTTCATTGTGTTTTACTCACAAATCAGTCGAATGAATTTGAATACATTGCACAAATGATTTATGCTGTTATGGTAGTTTATGTGCTTTTTGGAGCTTCAGCAATGTAAGTAAATGATGATTAATTTAATGATTCATTTTTGAGTGAACCATTTTTATTTATTTTTTGTTGATTAATATTGATTAATATTAATATGAATATTAATAATCATGATTAATAAGAATCAGGATTAATATTAATAATCAGGAGAGAAATATGCACAGATCAAGCACTGTTTACAATGTAAAATAGTTCAAGATGGTTCTAAACAAATGTGATTTTGATGTGAGAGAACAAAAGATCAAGTCAAGTCAAGTCTACTTTATTGTCAATTCTTCCACATGTACAGCACATATATAGATGATGGACTTTTTCCACTGGATCACTGGAGGAAGTGTTATTATGGATTAGAGATTGATATTTTAACCAGAAGCAACAGTTTAAAGTTAAAATTGTTTAATTTATGGGCTGGAGTTGTGTGGATTACTTGTGGATTATTGTGATGTTTTTATAAATTGTTTGAACTCTCATTCTGACGGCACCCATTCACTGCAGAGGATCCACTGGTGAGAAAGTGTTGTAATGCAAAATTTTTCAAAATCTGTTCTGATGAAGAAACAAACTCGTCTGCATCCTGAGAGTGAGTACATTTTCAGCAAATTTAAATTTTTGAGTGAACTATTCCTTTAACAAAACTGATGTTGTGGATTTAAGCTAAATTAATAAATGTAAACAATGAATTAATATTTTAAACAGTCAAATTATGGGTGAGAGGCACAAAAGTATTTTTCTACTGTGATACGGCACCACCGAAAAAATAAGATTTTTTTTTCTTTCTTTTTATTAATACTCATTGAATTTTCACAGAAAGTGCCTCTGAGTTTGCACATGTGTGTTTCATCGGCATAGATTCTATTGATATGACTGTATGATGCAGATAATGGTGACCTTTGGAAGCACTAGACTCAATTTGAATTCTAGCTCTGTACCAGGCACTCTTAGCTGTCATTTGTTTGGGAAGAGTTATTGATTTTCTTTAAAGCGAGTGCTAACGCTCAGTCTGCGAGGATCAAGCGTTTTGACTGATCCTCCTCAGACAATTAGCCCTGATGTTATGATGTTATGCATGCAACAGCAAAATGTAACAATATTTCAGGTAACTTCAAAACCCTTTTAATATTCAATTCCTATGCTTAGATTATAGTCTCAAAATCATGGCGTCTTAACAGGCTGGTCTGTTTAGATGAAAGACTTCCTGTAGTTTATGTGTGTCATTAACGTAATATGATGAACAAGGGTACATGTAGCATTCATAAATATTACCTTTTTTTACTGTATGTGATTTTTAGTGCATCTAAGAATTTGTTTGGGTTGACGTAATTAGTGATCAGTTGTCATAACAAATTTGTGAAGAGCAATAATGGAACAAATGAACATGAGCACATTAAATTTCATTACATTTAATAATGGCAATTCTACAAAAAGTAATAAAAAAATTAGTAGCAGGTAGATTATTGGCTAAGCAATGCAGTTTCTCTCATCCTCTATGAGCCGCTGTGTGTGTATCGGCGACTGTAAGTAAATGTCAAGTGCTGTGTGTTTAGTTGTGCTCCTTTGTATTCCCGTGAAGGACATGTTGTTGGCATTTAGCAAGAGGCATGACGCACCCAAGCAACCAACATATCTACAATGTGTTGATTGCTATCTGTGAATAAATCCTCCCGTATTGTAAAAGATTTCCAAGCCTATTACAAGCCTGTTTATCTTTATCGTGCATGGGGAGCGGCTTCTGGCTGCTTCTCATATGGATGTCAGGTGCTAGGGAGTTTCATTTGCACAACACCCAGTGGTGCGTATGCCTTCAGACCAAATGTGCCCGTCTGTTTGACACACAGTCTAACCGCTGACATGGCTGGCACCATCAGCATAATTGATATGCTGCTGTGCATATGGTATACGCCGCCATTAGCAGCCGCAATGAGATTGTCGACGAGATGTTCAAGGCAAACAGTGACCTTTGAACAGTGACTCAGATGACATAAACATCTACTGCCATGTAAGGCGGCAACATCCTCATTCTTTACCCCTGGGGATGTAAGTATGAAGTTCAAATTCAGTCAACTTGGGAATTATTTGCTCTACTTTAAGATCATTGATTTTTATGTGGGTGTTTCTTCAGCTATCTACACTTTTGGCCCTGTGGACTTTCAGAAAATAAACTCTCTTTAGACACACTTTTCACTCTCACTAGTTTATTTCATTTGTCTGCTAACATTGGATATACAGGCATCACAGAAAAAAAATGTCATGTGCACCTCAATGTCATTTTCAACACATCTTAAATTATGTATCATGCTTTATAGCATTTTATGATAAAAGAGATGGTTTTAAAACCTTTTTTTAGCATCAATTAAACCCATGGATCGCATTATGTATTGTAAATACACAATATGAAATAATCTTTTCACCCTTTTTGTATAATTATAAAATTATATTTATATATTTATTATATTAATATGATCAACTCCTAAGACATAAATATGCCCATAGTTTAAGAAACACCAAGTACACTAAAGTATACAGTGATATATTGTGTTTTTTGTAACCATATAAAAGATACATTAATTTTCCTCCTTCCCTGACAAGTTGAGCTGCTGTGATAGATACTGTGGTTTGGCTAATTTGGCAGAGCTGTTGGAAGCTCTAATGAAAAAAGCTGCCCAACGCTCTCAGCTGTTAGGACAAACACACTCAGATACTCACACTGACTGAGATGGCACAAGGATAATCATTAATTACTATTGCTATTGTGATATTGTCCACCCACACTGAGGACCAGAGAGATAACTAGTTACCTCCAGAGGCTTTGAAGTACCCATGGGTTGTAGTACCCATGTCATTATACACATTTGTGTCCTCATAAACCATATATACCAGTACACATATACACACATATATGTTTTTAAACAGCAGTGTATCTTGCACAAAGAGTTTAATCTCTGTCATCTCTCCACAGCTCTCTCTTCTGGCAGAGATGTGTCCTCATAAACCATATATACCAGTACACATATACACACATACATGTTTTTAAACAGCAGTGTATCTTGCACAAAGAGTTTAATCTCTGTCATCTCTCCACAGCTCTCTCTTCTGGCAGAGGTGGGGTTCGGTGGCTCTCTTCTCTATGTGGATCCCTGTGATGCCCCATTTGGAAATAAAACCTTTGGGGTGACCCTGAACCCAGGTGGGAACCCGTTTTCTGAAGAAAATGCCAGAAGTGGTAAGCATCTGCAACAGACACTTACACCATTACACTGTAACCTTCTTAAGGTTTTATTTTATTTTTTACATTTTATACTCTCATCAAAACTTATTTTATTTAGATCAAGTGGAGAGACAGAGATCTTGGTATTGCATAATTTTGCTTGACAGTGAGATCGTAAACTCATTTCCTGAGTATTAAATAAAGTATAATTTTCTTGCAAAGACTTGATTAACATGAATTTAATAATAATAATAATAATAATAATAAAATATATTAACCTAAAAAATATCTTTAGTGTTTAGCTGGTCAGGCTTTACTTTCAAGGCAAACACTTTTAATCATGCTGATAATTTTCACTACAAAAAAGAAATCACAGAAAGATAATTACTGCTTTTGGACATCTATGACGCTTGTGCACTTAAACTACCTCTTCTTCTCTAATTAAACGTTCCATTTCAGACTATTATTTTTAATAATGAAAAAAAAAATGGCATTTAGTTTATGACTTAGTTTACGACTTTATGAAATCTAGACTAAGTTATATGCATCTTATAATACAAATGAACCACTGAAGTTTATGATAGCAATGTACCATTGTGCAGCTCTAAAACCTATAGTATGTGCTGTCCATGGTGCTGAAAGTCAGCTATGTGTGTGCAGCTGTCCGTGGTACTGAAAGCGAATGACCTACAGTTTAAACAATTTTAATGTTTTGGTGTATTTAAATATCTACTGTTGACTGTAGCATTGTGCAAATATAAAACCTACAGTGTGTGCTGTCCATGGTGCTCAAAGTCAACTGTATGTGTGCAACTGTCCGTGGTGCTGAAATCAGATGTCTTACATCAGGGGTTTTCAAACTTGTCCTGGAGGTCCTCAAGCCCAGCACTGCACAAGGACATCTCAATTTGAAGGATCCTTAAAAGGCAGTTTTTGTTTCGCACCCTTTATTTGGCCTGTTTTGACCACAGACGTTTGTTATTATCTGCATTTGTCATACAGTTTAAATAAATTTTATGTTCTGCTATATCTATTGATGACTATAGCATCATGTAAGTCTAAAACATATATTGTGTGCTGTCTATGTTTCTGAAAGTCAGCAGTGTATGTGCAGCAGTGCTGTTGTCTGTGGTGCTGAAACCAAAACGACTGTAGTTAAGAGTACTGCCCATGACAGAAGACCTCAGCGCAGCCCTGGCTGACCCTGACTTTCTGCAGTGCAGGATCACTGGGACGTGTCATTACTGGAGTGATAGCATGGGCTTACAGCAGGCTGCGAAGTCAGGGCACAACGGGGCCTGCAAACAGATGTCTTAGCAGATGTTTCGTGCCTGTTTTCTCTTCAGCAAAGCCCTTTGTCAGAGCGCTCCACAGGAAATGAGTGCAATGTGAAATTATTCAGTGGGACTATTGTCCTTGTGACAGTTTTGTTTGTTAGGGAGAGAATATATGCAATGTACTCTGGTGAACCAATACACAGAACAGCAGAGGTCAGACTCTAGTTATTTTTATGCTGTCTTCATGATCCATAATATAAGTTCACATTTTGCTTAGTCCTCTTGTAATTTTGTGTGTCTGTTTGTGAGCTTATTATATGATTTTCTGCAGATTTTATGATCACTGGCTGTAGATGTCAATCTATGACTTTGTTTAATCAAAAACATTATAGAGAGGTGTGCTATTAATATAAATGTTGACCAAGTATTTGCTCTGAAATATTATTTTCTTGTTTTTTCCAATAAAAATGAATTAGGAATAATGGTCATTCAAAACCCCTACTGGTAAACATGTATTGGTCAGACGTAGTTGATGAAGAGTGTGGAGGAAGTTTTGTTTGTGAGAGTTCTTCTATGCTTTATTTAGGCTTAATTATCAGCTGTACAGTAATAGTTGTGTTGCTTCCATTTGAATTTAATCTCTTTGTTGTACTTAAATACTACCTACTGATACAGATTAAGTTAAATAAAAGCAGACGCCCTGGATAACACATTCTTGCTTAGTCCCCCGCTAGACAAAACTTGTTTTAGCCCCATTGAGATGAATATTTACAATGGAAAGAATGACATGCATCTGCACAAATTAGTGAGTCAGACATTTTGATTGATAGACACTTGATTGATAGTTTTGCTTGCTGATTTGTCACAAATGCACTTTTTCATGTTCTCTCTCCTGTTCTGATCAATTTATGTGACGTTAAAGGAATATTCTGAGTTAAGTACAACTTAAGCTCATTGCACAGCATTTGTAATGTGCTATAAATGCTGTACTACAAAAATCTGGGTTACAATGAGACACTCCGAATGGAAGTGAACAGGGCCAATCATTAAACCATAAAAAAAAAAAAATAATAATAATAATAATAATAAAATAAAATAAAAATAACTTTTTGAGCTGTATAGCCACAATACATAAATGTGTTAGCATGATTTTAGTCACTCGCTGACCTTTTAAAATTTTGTGCAGCTTTACAAATTTGTTGCATACCTTAGAATGATTGTAATAAAAAAAATAAA